AAAAGTGAATAACTGAATAATCAAATCAAATGATAACTATGTCAATGACTAATGCGTAGCATTATATTGTATTCGTCCTAATAGATTAGTGTCCAAAAAAAAAACTTTGTGAACGTGACTTACATCCAATAAAAACAATTGAATAAAGAGAAATTTATTATAGAAGTTAGTATTAAGTTATAATTGGCATAGTATACACAAAAATTTTTCAAGGAATCTTGTTTCTTGGAACGATTTCATAGGCCAAATTAAAGATAACATATCTGTTCAGATAAAATGGAATTTATCGTTATAGTGATACGAATAGCATTGTAAACTTAATTAAATTTAAATGCTAAAATAAAGATTTATAAAAATACTAATATATCGTAATTTAGAATTATACGGTATACTGTAAAAATTATAACTATAACCGAATAAAGGTACGCGACCGAGAAGTCACCTTAACATCAAAAAAAAAAAAATAAAAATAAAATTACCAAAAAAAATTATTTATAAAAAAAACTTTTTAAATTTAAAATTTTTTAAACTTCACTAACAAGTATATTTTTAAAAAACCAAATTAACTTTTAAGAAAACCCAAAAACCTATCAAACCAATCTACTTTTTACTCTAAATACAGTATTTCAAATACTTATATGTATAACAATAATTATACTTGTTGGCTAACTATAAATTTTCAAAATCTTAACCAAATTCCAAATACTGTATAATAAAATTGTCAAATTTAATCGCAAATATAATAAAATTTGTTTCCAAATCCCAATAGTTTTGCCAATAAGTACGTATAACCAGAATCAGCGCTAAAGTTAAGGTTAGAGGGCTTATATATACGCACAACAATGGCTACCAGTAGCTTTCGACTTTTGTACATGATAGCAAATCTTACATTTTTGATACTCCTGCACTTACTTTTTCGATACCCTAAACATACCCTAAAACTAACCAATAGGATTGCATGTTATAATAAAAGTTAAAGGTATAAAAATTTTAGGGAATGTTTAGATGTATCAAAAAAGTAAGTGCAGGAGCATCAAAACGTAAGTTTTTGTAGTAGCGATACGAACACGAATGACATCAATCACAATCTGAAAATTCCTTGGATGGCAATTTAATCTCATCAAGATCTTTATCAGATTTAACATAGTATAATACGATCTTACCATTCTGTCTTTCCAAATCACATACGCTTTAAGCTGAGATGAACAAGTCTAAAATTTAGTATAATTATATATCCTAAATAAACAATTCATGTTGACAATAAACCGAACCAAGTTTATTCTAATGTTTCTATAAATTTCGATGGTCGCTTTTTACCGGTCGCGTCCAAGTAATGGTCCACCTTAGGTAGTTTGCCATATATTGGCTCATGGATACCTTTAACAATAATTTGAAGTGTTAAGGTTACTAAAATTGATGCTATTGTGTTTAGGAGAATTATTAAATATTTACCTAATCGATCTCTATAAATTGAACCAACATCCTTATCCCATACTTCGCGAAAAAATGTAGCCCCACTTAATATCAAATTATATTTACTTGCGAACTCGCGAACGTTCGTTATTAGATCCGCTTTGGTAACCTCGATTTTACCAACAGACTGTTCAAAAGCACCTAAGGTGTATCTATGATATTTAGTGCCTTTAGGTGGATGTGGTGGCACGTACTGCAAGATTTCTGTTCCACCCGAGATATCAGTTTTTGTAGCATTTATAGGAATATTTGTTCTAATAAATACACTGTTAATATATGTATTCATTGATATCATAAATAATATAAAGCAGCGTAGTTTGTGTCTCCTACATTAACCAATGCCATTGCGTTTGAAACCTTTTATTTTCTACATCAGGCATGTCTAAAATAATCAAATAATACCAAGTTTAATGTATTTTGTCACACAACTACACAACACCATAGCACCTTACCCACCTGGATCCACCATAATGAGAGTGTACAAGCGCGTTTCTACATGAAAATTGTTCATAATAATTGTAGGAGGGTTTATTGTCTTTAAGTAAATACTTGAATCATTAAGTGTTTCTGGTTTAAAAGAACTAAATTATCAATAGGATAGCGTACTCTCATAGGCCGTTGAAACCATCCAGGTTCAACCAATTCATCATCAAATTTGAATTCAAGGTTCATTGTGGGCACCAAGTCCGGAAATACATCAGGCACAACATACATTTGCGTTATACGTTCCATCTAACATTAAATGTGTTAAATATATTAATTATGATTGAAATAAGAAATCGAACATAATGGTAATAGATGATACCAATTTTGGAAGAGGACCAGATTTCCAATGCTTTTCTTTTAAATGACGATAAACAGGTATAGACATATCGACTATTATAAACATAAATATAAATAAATCAAATAATTTCACATTCTCTCATAGTAATGAATGATAATTGAATAATAATTACCCATATCATTTTTAAACTTCCATCGAATCTCGGGATCGTTTACTTCAGCTTGAACTTGTAAATCATATTTTTCCTTGTAAAGTGCGTCCAATTGGTTAATGATTTCATCGTTTTGTTCCATTGCTAAATATAATTCGCGAAAAGAAAGAAATTGTAGGTCTGAATTTTTTAAAAAAAAATATAAATATAAATATAATATAATTACGAAAGAACCTTCAGAAAGTTTTGATATTTGTTCGTCGATTTGTTTTATCTGTTGATATTTATTTGCTTTATCTTGAGAGATATATTTAAACGCTTCCTCATAAGCCGGATTATAGTTGTTAGGCGAAGCCATTTTACGTAAATGGCGAAAAGTGAAACCTAAACTCAGCGAAAGACGAAAGACGAAACCCCCTGGTGAAACGGCAAAACCCCGGCGAAAGGTGAAACCTCTGGCGAGAGGCGAAACTCTTGACGAAAGTCGAATCATAATAAAAAATAAATTTACCACGTAAGATATTGTGAACTTCAACATGATTATCTGTGATGTGATTATATAGAAGGTGACTATATAGAAGGACGACTGTAGTTGACCGATTTGGATCACTAGTTATACATCTATGTGACTTATGTCCTTTACCAGTTCCCAATGAAAATGGTTGAAAAAAAATAAATGTAAGCAATTTGTAAAAGCAGCTGGTGTGGATTATGCTGATGGAATGGTTAACATGAATGGAATTGGGGTAGAAAAAGATTATTGTAAAGCCTATATCCATTATCAAAAATCTGATGCTGAGAATTTGAATTATTTTAATATAAAATTAAAAAAATAAAATAAAAGATTAATAAACCATTTTATATATCATTTGATTTAAAAAAAAAAAAGAAAT